TGACCTGTGCCTGTAATCCCAGCTCATTGGGAGGTGGATGAAGGCAAAAAGCTAGCAAGACCGCACCTCAGGCGATGAGACAGGTGCTGGCATGCCCCGTGAGTCACGCACAAGGCAGCACCTGCAGAGCAGCACCTGCAGAGCAGCCCCAAGGAAGGAGGACTGGAGGCGGGGCTGGAGCTCCAGCCCCGGTGCCACAAAAAGGCTTTTCCCACCACGTATTTCCTGGAACAAAATCGAACCTCAGATAAACTGGACTCTGTAACTGTCATTTCAGTATTCATTGAGTGAAACATTCCAAGTGCTTCCGTTACTCTGAAAGGTGAGAGATGCTTTCTCTTTGTTCTCTCTTCTTCCTCCTCTTTCTTCTCTTTTTTTTGTGGCGCTGGAGTTTTGGAGATGGAGCTGTGCACTTTTGCCAGGAAAGTTTTTCTTTTTCTTTTCTCTCCTCTCCTCTCTCTCCCTCTCTTTCTCTTTGCCAGTCCTAGGTCTTGAACTTGGCACTGTTCCTGAGCTCTTTTGCTCAAGGCTAGCGCTCTACCACTTGAGCCTCAGCTCCACTTCTGGCTTTTTGTATGATTTTGTGGAGATAAGCGTCTCACTTTGAACGGTGATCCCCAGATCTCCTCCTGTGGAGCTAGGGTTATGGTGCATAGCTAGGGTTATGGGCATGAGTCACGGGCGCCTGGCTTTCTTCTGGTGGTACTAGAGTTTGAACTCAGGGACTTACACGTAGTAGGCAGGTGCTTTATTGCTGAGCCACTCTTAGAGCCTGAATTAGATGGCTCTGCCAACTAGCCCAGGACTTGTTTGTCCTACCTGCTTGTGGGGTGTCTCAGCCAGGCTGGCACCTGTTCCTGAGGAGCCTCCTGGCTGCCCTGTGTGCTGATCTCCAGAGCCTCAAGCCAGCTGCCTACCCTGGTGTCCAATGGTGTCTCCCAGCTTCCGCCTCTGTCCCTGCAGCTGTCCCTTCTGTTTAAGTCCTCGCCCTCCCCCCCAGCCTGCTGTGCACTGCTGTCCCCCCCCCAGGTGAAAACCCTCCACCCTCGCCCACACTGCCTTCTCTCCCTGCCACCCTCCTGGGTGTCGGCTCCATCGGAAGGGACACTGCGGTACTCGCCACTTGCTGTGCACTCTGCTTCTCCTCCTGGGTGGCATGGCAGTGACCCCTGACTTCCTGCAAGGAGTCTGTCACATTCCCAGGGGTCTCTGTAGGAAGGCCATGTGGCAGTGTCCACAGGCCTGCCTCTCCTCCTGCAGCGTGGGGGGCTCTCCAGCCTAGTTCTTGCTATGTAAATGCTGGTCGTTGGGTCTTGCACCAGAAGCTTCAGCTCAGCCGCAGCGTAGGGAAGAATGGGGAAGCCGGCTTGTTCCAGCAGCTTTTGAGTGGAAGCAGAGGGAGAGGCTGCCCGGTGTGGGAAGGAGGGCTGCACAAATGTGTGTCGGTATTTGGATTTCCCTGCAGGAAGTCACTCTGGATAAACAGCAGTAATTGAGGGCAGAGGATCTGGAATGCAGAAGAGAAAGCAGAGGCTTTCTAGAGTGTTCTTATGGATGAATTACGAGTGTTTTCACCTGCTGGTCAAACCCAGGAGGACTTTGCAGGGGGGCTGGGGTGTAAAGCCGTGGCTGGTGCTGGCTCCAGAGCCGACCCTTGGTTGGGAGGTTAGGAACTGTGCTGTGATTGGTGTGTTCTGCTTCCCTGGCCTTGTGCCCACCCACTTGTCACATCGTGCCACGCCCCACAGTTGAGATGAGGAATGTATGATCTAAAGGCCTGAGCACGTGCGCCGGGAGGGAAGCCTGAGTCAGACAAGTGAGAAGCGGGTGCCACTTTGGAGCCTCATTTAAGGCCTGTCTGGTTTCGGTCTGCTGGTGCCCAAACTGGACCAGAATGTGACAGTAATGTCGATTAGGTGTCCACAGCTATTTAGTTACAGCCACAGCTATTTAGAGTAGTCTGCAAGTAGGTTGTTTTTTTTGTTTTTGTCCAGTCCTGGGGCTTGAACTCGGAGGGCCACTGTCCCTGAGCTTCTTTTGCTCAAGACTAGCACTCTACCACTTGAGCCTCACCACCACTTCTGGCTTTTTCTGTGTTTGTGGTACTGAGGAATGGAACCCAGGGCTTCCTGCATGCTAGGCAAGCACTCTACCATGAAACCACATTCCCAGTCCTGTGTTTTTGTTTTTGTTTTGTTTTGTTTTTGGGTCCAGTCGGGGGCCTGAACTCTGGGCCTGGGCGCTGTCCCTCAGCTCTTCAGCTCAAGGCTAGCGCTCTACCACTTGAGCCACAGCGCCACTTACGGCTTTTTTCTTTTTGCTTATGTGGTGCTGAGGAATCGAACCCAGGGCCTCAGGCTTGCAAGGCAAGCACTCTACCACTGAGCCACCTTCCCAGCCCCCAGTCCTGTGTTTTTAATGTGCGAGTAAATTCTTTATTGTGCTTTGTCATTACAGAAACCTTTTTATTTTTTTTACGTTTTTTATTGTATAAATGCTGTACAGAGGGTTGCAGTTACATGAGCAAGGTAATGAGTCCATTTCCTACAAGCATTGTTGCCTCCTCCTTTGTTTACCCCCTGCTATGCCTTCCCCCCACCTCCACAACTACTTGCTCCCCAACAGAAACTTTAATACTATTTCTATAATTTTCATACCTTACAATCGCAAAGCAGTATTATTTTTGCATAACAGGACTAATAATATCTTGTGAGTTTGTTTTTGTATTTTTGGTTGTGGGTCTTGAACTCAGGGCCTGGGTGCTGTCCCTTAGCTTTTCAGCTCAAAGCTAGCGCTCTACCACTTGAGCCACAGCGCCACTTCCGGTTTTCTGATGGTTAATTGGAGATAAAAATCTCGTGGACTTTCCTGCCCGGGCTGGCTTTGAACTGCATCCTCAGATTTCAGTCTCCTGAATAGCTAGGATGACAGGTGTGAGCCACCAGCGCCCTGCATAGGACTATCTATTTTTTAATACTGGAATGTTTTGGGCTGGTTTTGTTGGTTTTTTGGTGCAGTTCCTGGGGCTTGAACTCACAGCCTAGGAGCTGTCCCTGAGCTTTTTTGGTCAAAGTTAACACTCTACCACTTGAGCCACAGTTCCACTTTGGCTTTGTTGGTGGTTAATTGTAAGTAAGAGCCTCACAGACTTTCACCCTGGGCTGGCTTTGAATCATGATCCTCAGATCTCAGCCTGCTGAGTACCTGGGACGAAAGGTGTGGGCCACTGGTGCCTGGCTGCCTGTGCTTTTCTTAAACCTCAAATGAAAGAAGCCACACTGCTGGGAATTTTCATGTCCATAAAAATGTGCACTGTGGATAGGTACAAGTGAAGTGGTTTTGATTGTGTATGGGGTTTGGCAAGGCGCAGAGCTGGAGAGCCGCTGTTCCGGGGTCGGCTGGCCAAGCACACCCGACAAGGCCCCTGCCCAGCTGGGCTCGAGCCGAGGGCCTCGGCAGCTGTCAGCCGGCCCAGCGCCGCCGCCCCACAGTGCAGGCTTGGGTCCTCTGCTGAAGAGCCGTGTCTGATGCACCCTGCCGGGGTGCTGCTCCGCTCTTAGTGCTTGCCATTCTCTTGGTCAGGTGCCAGTGACAGGAAGGTCACTAGGAGGACATGGAAGAGGCAGGGACGGGAGGACAGCCGTGCGCCTCCCGCCCTGGGCCAGCGTGGCTCCCGTGCTGTGTGCGGCTCATTCTCGCCTGTCTGGGTCCGTTCTCACCGACCCAGCGTCTCATTTTTATGTAATCAACTGGTATGGCTCATTAATTTCCTTTCCATCTTTTTTTTTTTCAAACTTTTTGTCAGTCATGGGGCCTGAACTCTGGGCCTGGGCGCTGTCCCTCAGCTCTTCAGCTCAAGGCGAGCGCTCTACCACTGAGTCACAGCGCTACTTCCGGCTTTTTTCTGCTTATGTGGTGCTGAGGAATGGAGCCCAGGGCCTCATGCGTGCGAGGCAAGCGCCCTACGGCTGAGCCACCTTCCCAGCCTGTTATTCTTAGTTAATTCTGTGCTGCTGGCTGGAACGCAGTGCTGCTCTCGGGCGTGGCCGCGGTCCCTGGCAGACCACCTGCCCCAGCCTTTGTCTACCAGTGAGGTCACTTTGTTTCTGTCTTCTTCTGTAACAGAACCACACCCAGCAGTCGCAGTCAAGGTGTGTGTGTGTGCAGGGTGTGCACACATCGTGTGTCGCCCGCGCATGCACACAGGTGCAGGATGTGCACACCACACCCTCGTGCGGGGCAGTGGCATGGTGAGACTTTTGGCAGAAGTTGTTCCCAGTCGGGACTTGGAGACGCAGCAGCCTCCCGAGCGCACGCCGGGGAGGCCGTGAGCACGCGTGGGGGCCCGGCCCAGCCCGGGCCCGGCCGCCTGCTCGCTTGGCGCCTGGTGCCTCGCACTTGATGCCTTCTGTTCTTTTAGTCTCCAAGACCAGACTGCTGCCCTGTGGCCGCTGGCGGGCGGCAGGCGAGTGGGCCGGCAGTGCGTGGACGGTGATGTCCTCTGCCTCGTGCTGGGTGTGTGTGTGTGGGGGGGGGTGTTTGAGATCTTCCAGGCCAACATGCGTGAGGGAGGGGGCTGCCGGCCGCCCTCGGACCCCGCCTCGTGCCGCAGAGCAGGGGCGCGTGACCCGCGGGCACAGGGGACGCAGAGAAAGCCGTGTGGACAGAGGCTTTCCGCGCGTCCGTGGAGAGCAAGCTGCGGCCCCACGAACCTGAGTGTCACTGGCGTGCCACGCAGCCCGGCGTCTGGGCCGGCACGGGCTCTCGGCGCACACTTGCTCACGATGAGCAGCTCCCTCCGTCAGGGCCACAGGTGGCCCGACCCCTGTGCGCAGGTCTAGAGCTGGTTCTCCTGGGCCAAGGGCTCGGGCTGGCCAGCCGTCGGCAGGATGAGTGCCAGTGCGGAGGCCTGGCGGCGCGCGCGGCCCTCCCCGAGAAGCACGCACGAGTTCCTGTACAACTTCTCTATTGTGATAACGTGTTCTCCTTTGTCTTCACAGAGACTAATAGACAAGTCACGCGTAAGCTGTGTCAAATGGGTGCCCGGCTCGGAAAGCCTTTTCCTAGTAGCCCATTCGAGTGGGAACATGTACTTGTATAATGTGGAGCACACTTGTGGCACCACAGCCCCCCACTACCAGCTTCTGAAGCAGGGAGAGAGCTTTGCCGTGCACACTTGCAAGAGCAAATCCACGAGGAACCCTCTCCTTAAGTGGACGGTGGGCGAGGGGGCCCTCAACGAGTTTGCTTTCTCCCCAGATGGCAAGTTCTTAGCGTGCGTGAGCCAGGACGGGTTTCTGCGCGTGTTCAACTTCGACGCGGTGGAGCTGCACGGCACGATGAAAAGCTACTTTGGGGGCTTGCTGTGTGTGTGCTGGAGCCCGGACGGCAAGTACATCGTGACGGGCGGCGAGGACGACCTGGTGACGGTCTGGTCCTTTGTGGACTGCCGGGTCATAGCGAGAGGCCACGGGCACAAGTCGTGGGTCAGCGTGGTGGCATTCGACCCCTACACCACGAGCGTGGAGGAGAGCGACCCGCTGGAGTTCAGCGGCAGCGACGAGGACTTCCAGGACCTTCTGCACTTTGGCAGAGACCGAGCCAACAGCACACAGTCCAGGCTGTCCAAGCGGAACTCGACCGACAGCCGCCCCGTGAGCGTCACGTATCGGTTCGGCTCGGTGGGCCAGGACACACAGCTGTGCTTGTGGGACCTCACGGAAGACATTCTTTTCCCCCACCAACCCCTGTCGAGGGCCAGGACACACACCAATGTCATGAACGCCACCAGCCCTCCCGCCGGGAGCAATGGCAACAGTGTCACCACGCCCGGGAGCTCGGTGCCCCCTCCGCTGCCGCGGTCCAACAGCCTCCCGCACTCGGCCGTGTCCAGCGCGGGCAGCAAGAGCAGCGTCCCCGACGGGGCCCTCGCCGCCGGCGTCAGCAAGTTCGCAACCCTCTCGCTGCACGACCGGAAGGAGAGGCACCACGAGAAAGACCACAAGCGGAACCACAGCATGGGACACATTTCTAGCAAGAGCAGTGACAAACTGAACCTAGTTACGAAAGCCAGAACGGACCCCGCTAAAACTCTGGGGACGCCCCTGTGTCCTCGGATGGAAGACGTCCCCCTGTTAGAGCCGCTGATCTGTAAAAAGATCGCGCACGAAAGACTGACTGTATTAATTTTTCTTGAAGACTGTATAGTCACTGCTTGTCAGGAGGGATTTATTTGCACATGGGGAAGGCCTGGGAAAGTGGTAAGTTTTAACCCTTAACGCTGCCCGGACCGAGAGCGGGGCTAGCCAGCGGGGGAGGGGTGGGGTGTACAATGAATGTGAATGACACTTCTTATTCCTAATGTAAAACTAAATGCATCAGAGCCATAATTTTGGATACTGCATGCCATGTAATTCTGAATCATTTGAGAATCCACCTTAGAGCGCAGAGAAAAAAAATATATAATCCAACTAATTGCCAGCCGAGTTGGTCGTCCTTGCAGGAGTCTGCAGAGCCCCGGTCGGCATCCTGTGCCAGAGTATTTCAGTTCCAGGGCAATCATGACAGCATGGGGAAGCAAGGCCTTTAACGTGCTGAAATTACAGTTTATGCTTTAACTGGAATATTTTTGCCTAACTACCCAACTAGACTGTTGTACACCTGATCAGAGTGTGTGTTCAGTACAGATGGCCAATAACCGTCATTTGTAGTCCAATTTTTTATCTTAAATCATAAAAATGTGTAGGAATTGATGAAATTTAACTTTAGGAACAAAGCGTTCAGCAGGGTTGATTGATATTATTTTTACATTGTTCTGGCAATCCACAGAAAGAGCCTTAATTTTTAAAAACCCATTTTAGTCATTTTATGACAATTTAAAATTGTTTAATAAACATCTTTTTTCAAAGAAGCAGTTTGTAGAACTTTGATTGAGACTCTGCACGAAAATCTCCACCTGCTCCCGAGCCTGGAGAGTGACCTGCCCGAAACAAGGTGGATGTGTCGCGTGTGGGCTCCCCCACGTGGCCCCGGACAAGAGAGCTTCTGTTGCCTTTGGTTTTCCCTCCCCTCTGGGCCAGGAAGGTGTGGCTGCAGGCGGTGGTCAGCCCGCGTGGCCGTCCAGTGCTGCTCCGTGGTGCCGGGTGCGCAGCAGGGTGCCGGAGGGCGGCCTCCCTTGGCGCAGCCCTGGATGGCAGCTGGGCCCTGGGGGCCTCTGGGACGCAGACGCTGACCTAGGGCCCAGTGCTGCGAGTGCTGCGTCTGGGGACGGGTCTCGGGTGAAGCGAGTGGCTCCTGGGGGCCTCAGGCGTTCAGAAGTTGGTTTCAGTCGTTTTCTCCGTGGATCTGGAGGCTCTTGGAGCTGTAGAACTTGTGTTGAGAGCTGTGTATTTTGGCACTTGGTCGTTTTTGTTTTGTGTACCTTTGTGATCCTGTAGAGCGCTGGGTAGTGTGAAGAGTGAGTGTGTGGTTTTGCAAGTGTTTCTGCCTTGTCGAAATCCATGGGCCTGTCCCCCCCCCCCCCCCCCCTTAACCTCAGCCTCCCCACAGTCTGGGCTGGGGCCAGGGCCGCTGCCACTTCTGAGTGCCCACGGCCCGATCCACGCACCCCGGGCCCGTCCTGCACCCCGCACAGTGGCTCCTGTTCCGCGTGGCCATGGCGGCCCCCCCCCCCCCATGCCAGGGCCTTTCCACGCCGAGCCGAGTGATTGTCAGTGTCCCAGCTACCGGCGCGTCTGGTCCTTCGTTCCTAGGAACGTCCGGCGGCCGTCCCAGCCTGAGGGCAGTGGGCTGCACGGGGCTTAGCGATGGGGTCCCGCACACTTTGCACACCTGCACGGTGGTAGAAATTCTAATGCTGCGGAGACAGCGAGTGTGCAGTCTGGAAATTCAGGACTCTGACCTGGGCTACGCACAGGTAAGGGGGGGGCGAGGCCCCCGTGACCCTCGTTCCCAGGGCGCCGACTTCCTGCGCAGGCCCAGCGGGGCCAGGACTGGGGGGGGGCGCGTCCGCACCGCCTCCCTCCCCCTCCGCGTGCTGTGGGCGCGGTTGGGCTTTGGCCGCCATCTTGCCCAGCGTCTGCGGAGGAGGGGCGTGTCCCGTCTGGCTGGGCCCCTGGGGACCCCGCAGTCTTCCCCTTTCTGGGGTTCCTCTGTCCGCCCCCGCCGGGCCACCCGGGGGACGCCTGGCCCCCCGCGTCCCCTCTGCTCCCCGACTCCGCCCCCTTTGGCAGTGGGTGGGGCGCTGTGCGGAATGCTGTGCGGGACGGGGGGCGCTGTGCGGGACGGGGGTGCTGTGCGGGACGGGGGGGGCGCTGTGCGGGACGGGGGGGGTGCTGTGCGGGACGGGGGTGCTGTGCGGGACGGGGGGGGCGCTGTGCGGGACGGGGGGCGCTGTGCGGGACGGGGGTGCTGTGCGGGACGGGGGCGCTGTGCGGGACGGGGGCGCTGTGCGGAATGCTGTGCGGGACGGGGGGGGTGCTGTGCGGGACGGGGGGCGCTGTGCGGGACGGGGGTGCTGTGCTGGACAGGGGCGCTGTGCGGAATGCTGTGCGGGACGGGGGCGGTGCTGTGCGGGACGGGGGGCGCTGTGCGGAACGGGGGCGCTGTGCGGGACGGGGGGGCGCTGTGCGGGACGGGGGGGCTGTGCGGGACGGGGGGGCGCTGTGCGGGACGGGGGGGTGCTGTGCGGGACGGGGGGGCGCTGTGCGGGACGGGGGGGGCTGTGCGGGACGGGGGGGGGTGCTGTGCGGGACGGGGGCGCTGTGCGGGACGGGGGCGCTGTGCGGGACGGGGGGGGCGCTGTGCGGGACGGGGGGGGCTGTGTGGGACGGGGGGGCGCTGTGCGGGACGGGGGGGGTGCTGTGCGGGACGGGGGGGGCTGTGCGGGACGGGGGGGCGCTGTGTGGGACGGGGGGCGCTGTGCGGGACGGGGGGGCGCTGTGCGGGGGGGGGCGCTGTGTGGGACGGGGGGGGCGCTGTGCGGGACGGGGGGGGCTGTGCGGGGGGGGGCGCTGTGCGGGACGGGGGGGGGGCTGTGTGGGACGGGGGGGGCGCTGTGCGGGGGGGGCGCTGTGCGGGGGGGGGGCGCTGTGCGGGACGGGGGGGCGCTGTGCGGGGGGGGGGCGCTGTGCGGGACGGGGGGGTGCTGTGCGGGCCGGGGGCGCTGTGCGGGCGCTGGCCGGGACCGGAGCGGGCGCGGGGGCAGCCTCCTGAGCCAAACGCCTTTTCTAACCCGGCTCCTGGAGGAAGGCACGGCTGGGCGGGCAAGGCCGCTTCCGCGGTCAGGTCCATGGCAGGCGGGCCGGGCCGCTCCGGCTCCGCGCGCAGATGGCAGCCGGGGCCTCCATCCGGGGCTCCCGCATGGCGGAGGGGCGCCCACGCCGGCCGCACCCCCGCCTGGCGTCTCTGACCAAAGGGGAGCCCCTCGAGACGCCTGCACAGGGGTGCTCCGGGGCCCCCGGGCTCGGGGGACCTGCCCAGAACCCTGCCAAGACCAAGGGCGGGGAAGGGTCAGGAAGGGGGGGGGGGGGAGGCGGATCAAAGTCCCAGGCTGGCCCGACCAGCTATGGCCCGGGAGGGAGAGCGCCCCGCTCCCCCAAGATAGGGGAGAAAGGCCATGGAACTCGGTGGTCTGCGTGGGTACATGCGTGTGCCCAGGGTGGGCTCTGGCCTTGGCCTTCACACCTGACCTCTGCACTTGGCTTAGCTCTTGCCCCCCCCCCCCCTTCTTTCTTACCTGGAGCTGGAAGTGACTAACCCCAGCTGCTGGCCCCGCAGCTCAGTGGGGAGGGCCGGCAGAAGCAACAGCCTGGCCTGCGCCAGTCTGGGCAAAAGTGGGATCCTAGCTCAAAAATAACCAGCACAAAATGGGTTGGAAGCGTGGTTCAAGCAGGAGAGCATTTGCCTAGCAATCACAAAGCTCTAAGAACCACCAACCTCCCCCCATGCCACTCCCCCCCCCCCCCAAATCGTGTTAAATATGTCCTGGAATTGGTGAGGCTCCTGTGTGCAGCTGCAGGAGAGGCGGTTTCCTCCTGCCTGGAGGATGTTGTGGGTTGAGGAAACTCTGAAAAGGAGCTGGCCGAAGGGCCGGGAGGGCTAGAGGCGCCTTTCAGGACCCAGACACCACACAGCGCTGCAGGTGGCCAGCATGGACGCAGTGCGGTGACTGTGACGGGACCGCCGAGGTCCCACCTGCATCCTGCGGCCAAGCTCTGGGGCCAAGGCTGCCCTGGGTGCGGCTTCTGGTCCCCCTGGGTTACAGCTCTGCCCAGAGCTCTGCTCTGAGCCTTGTCCAGCACGCCTCCCACCCTGGCTGTTGGCAGCTGCTTTGGGTTAACTGTCACCTTTGCGACTGAGATCTCAAGTTCAAAATGGAGACGCTGTCCCCGGGGGCACAGCTCGGCCGCCACGTGTGTCCTGTGCAGCCGCTGCCCTGGTGAAGCTGCTATCTCCCAAGTGTAAATCCCAAGTGTAAAGACCAATGTCCTGCGGTTGCAATGTCTGTACACCTAAGTGGATGGAAGGTTGTTGGGTGACGGGGTAGAAAATCGTGTGGATATTTTTCCTCAGTGAAAAAGCAAAAGTAGAACTGACATGACATGTATTTTTTGAACACTCATCGAATTCCTTTACAACTCGAATAAATTCCATAGTGCTTTCCTAACATGCAACAGTTCTTAAGTGTTGGCAATAATTACTGAAGCTTGAGTATCAAAGTTGTTAACTTTATTATTCCCAGCAGACCACGTTTGTTTCGCTTTGTTTTGTAGCTGTTCCCTTGTCACTGCCACAGCTGAGGCTTCCGACGCCCGGCCGGCCATGCTGCAGCGCCTGGAGCTTGCCGGCCATGCTGCAGCGCCTGGAGCTTGCCGGCCATGCTGCAGCGCCTGGAGCTTGTCCACTGTCCACTGACGTTAAATAAACGGGCGTGGCTGCTCTGTCATGTAGATAGCTTTCAGTAGTCATTTCGCATCTGATCCTTGCGAATGCTCAGTGAGCCCACACAAATGTTTCCAAATGCTGTAAGATGATCAGCCCCGTGATGCGCTGCGTCCCGTGCCCGAGCTGAGCGTGTCACACTTGACACCTAGTCAAAGCTGCTGCTGCAACAGAGGACCACAGCGCCCTCCGGCGAGCTGGGCGGGTGGGCCACGTTCCCGCCTCTGGTGCCTAGCGCTTGCCTGGGCTTTGAGCCTGAGGCCAGGCAGGGCAGCAGGAGCTGGTGAACCAGCGCTTCCACTGCTGGCGTGGCCCAAGGGTTTGAGGAAGGGTGCGGATGTGTGGACCCTGGGTGATGGCCAAGGGCGGGCAGGCCTGAGCGCCCGTCTGCTGTCCTGGGCGGGGGGAGGGGGGGGGGTCCTACAGGCCGGCCATGGCCCAGCAGACCCCGACCCTCCGGGTCCGGGCTGCCCTTCTGCCACAGTGGCTTCAGCTCGGGAACTGGAGAGGCTCCGAGTCCCCCAGGCCTCGTCTTCCCGCCTGCGTGTCTTGGGCTGCCCTCCACCGGCCGCGCCCTCCCTTTCCTGCTTTCCTGACAACGCACTCGGTGCTGTCTTTTGTGGTAGCGACCAGGGGACACGGGTCCTGCGTGCCATCTTCCATCAGGGGGCAGGAGGGGGCTGGTGGCAGGCAGGAAGGAGCCAGCGTGTCAGGGCCTGGACAAGCAGCTCGTTGTGGGCGCGGATAGTGGCGACCCCAGAGGCGGCCAGCGCCCACCCTGTTATCTCCTGCTCTTTCCTATAGCAGTTCCCAAGGTGCTGGGATGATAGGTGTGCACAACCACCCCCTGCTGGTGAAGGATGGATTCATTCAGTGAAGAGAAATGCAGCCAGTAGGAGCAGGGGTGGCAGGAAGTTCGCCTGGCAGGTGTTTCTCGTCCTTTTTTTGTGCTTCTCACTTTACAAGTAAGCGCGTCACTGCTGGTCTGCGCCTGAGATGAGTTAGTGCGGGGAATTCCGGCAGAGCCAGGGCCTGCCTTCTCCCGGGGCCCCCCAGCCCCCCAACTCCAGGTCTGGACTGGCTGCAGCCCGCAGCGAGGTCCGTCTGGGAGTTGGCCAGACAGCGCCTGGGGCCGGGCGCGCAGCCCCAGCGTCCCGGCCTCCCCACAGCTTGGCCCTGAGGCTCCTTCCTCCCAGATACTCACGCGTCGCAGGAGGAAGCGGACGTGACTTCAGGGGTCCCTTTCTCTGATGCGGTGCCCACTAGGGCGGGGCACGCACACGTGCCTTCCTTTCTTGTAAGTTGTCTTTAAAATGGCGTTTCCTGGCCACGCTGGTGGTTCCTGCCCAGCCCGGGAGCCGGGTAGCTCCTCAGTGCCGACATGAAATCCCCACGAGAAACCAGGTGACCACTAGGCCCAGGCGGCTTGACTGCGAGGTGCGGGGCGGCGGGCGGCTCCCCTTGGGGGGTCGGGGGGGACGGGGCAGCGGCTTCACTGCTTCCATCCTTTAATGGCCCCGCGTGCGCCCCGCCGCCCCCAGCCACAGTGTCCCACGGAGCCCAGCGCGCGTGAGCAGTGGCCGCCGGGGCGGGAGGGGCCGCGGTGAATGTCGGGCCGTCCCCACCGGAGCCGCCCGCCCCGCGTCCCCTTCGCTCCTCAGCCCCCGACGCTGCTGGCCTCACACCCGGGTCCCACGGCCCCAGCACGGCGGGCGCCTGCCACGGAGCACTCTGGAGGCCAAGCCCACCGGTCTGTCCCCTACCTGCCCACAAGGGGCTACGCCTGGCCTTCCCAACATGGCAAGGGGGCCTCCAGGGGGTGCACAGGAGCTCAGGCTGAGGGGATCTCCCACAAGCGCCTGACTTGAGAGGGAGGGAGGCTGGGGGGAGGGCAGGGTGGCTGGGGGGTCAGGGAGGGAGGCTGGCTGGGGGGGGTCAGGGAGGGAGGCTGGTGGGGGGGTCAGGGAGGGAGGCTGGCTGGGGTGGGGGTCAAGGAGGGAGGCTGGCGGGGGGTGGGGGTCAGGGAGGGAGGCTGGCGGGGGGTGGGGGTCAGGGAGGGAGGCTGGCTGGGGTGGGGGTCAGGAAGGGAGGCTGGCTGGGGGGGTCAGGGAGGGAGCCTGGCTGGGGGGGGTCAGGGCGGGAGGCTGCCTAGGGTGGGGGTCAGGAAAGGAGGCTGGCTGGGGGGGGGGGTCAGGGAGGGAGGCTGGCTGGGGGCAGGCCGCCCTCGGGCTGGAGCCTGAGCTGTGCTCACCTGCAGCCCGCGAGGAGGACTCAGCATCTCACTGGGTCACCTCTGTGTGACACACCCCGGCCCCACTGCCCCACCAGGGCCACTGAGGCCCGCGCCGGCAGCCCACGGGCGACGGCAGGGGACTGCGCTGCGGCCTCGGCACACACGAGCTCTGTGTGAAGTACAGACAGAGTCTGCGTGCCTCTGAACGCTGTTTTTAGCTGCGATGCGATGTGGTCGCTACAGCCAGGTCAGCTACTGCGGTCACTCCTGCGCCTCCAGCGCAGCGGAGCGCGGACCGGGCGCAGGGCGGCCCCACGCGGCTGAGCCTGTCTGGTCTACGTCACCGGGCAGATGACTTGAGGGTCAGTTTCAGATTGTCAGCCCTTATTCATGTCCCTAGGTCTGTCAGATGCGCGGGTCTGTGGCTGTCACCTGCAGCCCGATGGTGGGAAGCAGCCCTCAGCTCAGCGCAGGGGAAAGTGTGCATTCGTGGAGCTGAGCAACAATCTGCAGCCCCAGTGTGACCCTTTTTTAAAAAAACAATTATTTTTGGTGCAGGCCTAGGGCTTGACCTCAGGCCTGGGCGCTGTCCCTGACCTTTCTTGCTCAAGGCTAGTGCTCTACCACTTGTGCCACAGCTCCACTCCCAGCTTTTTGGTGGTTAGCTAGAGAGAAGAGTTTCATGGGCTTTCTTGCCAAGGCTGGCTTCAATCCTCGGATCTTAGCCTCTTGAATAGGATTTCAGGCATGCACCACTGGCTTCTGCCTTGGACTATTTATAATCTTCAAATTATTCCTAATACCTGAGAAGCAAACTTTGGGGTAAGTGTGCAGCCTAGGGTAGGGGCAGGGGGAAGCAGTCTTCCTGTCCAAGGCGAGCTGTGCACTGCACATCTGGAAAGCGTGAGCTCCTTCCCCGTGGGTGGAGCCCCCCGGCTTCCAAGCAGGTGTGGGCTCCCGCTCCCCCTTCGAGGGCCCGCCCCACTGCAGCGTCCTGGCAGGAATCCTCAGCCAGGCCCTGCCCCTCTCTTACCTACTGGGTCAACACACTGAAGGTCAGCTAAGAAATGCAAGGACAGACCGAGCGCCTAGCGACCTCAGGAGGCTGAGGTCTGAGGATTGCAGTTCAAAGCCAGCCAGGGCAGGAAAGTCTGTACGACTCTTATCTCCAATAAACTACTCAGAAAAACCTGGAAGTAGTGCTGTGGCTCAAGTGGTAGAGTGCTAGCCTTGAACACAAAGAGGCTCAGGGACAGCGCCCAGGCCCTGAGTTCAAGCCCCAAGACTGGCAAAAATAATTAAAAATAAAAATAAAAGAATGCAAGGACGCAAGAGGCCTGGGGAGGAAAACGCTTATGCAAGTGCCTGCACACTCGTCTTGGGGCCCAGCTGGCTCTGCGGGGCTGGCAGCGCAGCTGCAGCTCTCCACAGGGCTGAAGGCTCTGGAAGTACCAGGAAGTAGCTGCACCCTGGTCTCAGGCCCCGGAGACCCCTCCACACACCCTCCCCCCCATGCTGCCAGCCTCTCCTCCTGGCAGGGCTGAGGCCCAGGCCTTACCTCCGGCGAGACTGGAGTGGCTGGACGGATGGCTGCGCCGAGCCCTGGGAAGCGGGAGACACCAGCTGGACAGATGTGGCTCCGCACGTGCCAGAGTGGGGCACGCTGGGCTCCTCGCCCTGTGTCTCGCTGGATTAATGCGAAATGCTTTGTTTGCAGGGCTTATTGTCATCCCCAAACCAGGCCAGTTCTCCAGGTGGAACGGTAGTGTAGCGACCCATTGCTGCACCAGACTCCCCGATGCCAGCGGACCAGAGGGTGAGGAAGACCGTGTCAGAGCCCTGACCGCACCGGAGCAGGTGGGCCGGCCGGCCGAGAGACACCGGAGGCCCTGTGGCCTGGCGGGCAGTGCGCCGCGCCGCGCCCCGCGCCCTGCAGCTCGCCCGAGGCTGTCCCGTTTGCAAGTCAGTCTCTTGGGGCCCTCCTGCTTCTCGCTCTGCGACTCAGCGTAGCCAAGGCGCATCAGACACAACATATGCAGATGCCGCACAGTGTAAGTACATTTCTTGGACAAGAAATCTCCTTGGACTGTTAGAAACACTTCTCTCTGGTGTTGCACTGATTGTTTTATACCGTCGGTGTTCAGAGGACAGCTGGCGCACTCGCAAAGCGCTGCTACCTCTGACTTAGCGCGTAATCCGGGAAGACATGCTGCAGTCCTAGACTTCAAATACTGTTTGCACTTAAAATAGTTCCACGCTGACAGCCAGTGACTGTGCGCAGTGGATTCCTGCCCACCGAGGTGTGAAGACGCCTTTTACCTGTTAACCTATTTTAATACTATTGTTTCCAATGCAATCAACTGTATTTTATGTGTAAATAATGTAATTCTCCAACTGGAGGAACAAGCTCCCTCACTAGTAATTTTCATCACTTAAGAGTGATCTTTCTAATTCACAAAAGCGTTAATATTAAAATTATGTTGCAAATATGATCTGGATGATCTTTTGTTAAGCAGCTCAAAGCGAGGGGCTCCTCGCGGCTGCGGATGGGAAGTGGCTGCAGGGGCCTCCCTGGGCTTCCCCCGCCCAAGGCCAGCCGAGCACCCTGGGCTGGCCTCGAACGCCAGGGGACTACAAGTGTGCACTGCCACACCTGGCTAGGGATGTAAGTGTGCCCCACCAGCAGCCATGCCTGGACTCACCGTTTTAAGTGAAAAATAGGAATCTTTAATTCTTAATCAACTTATAAATCCCATTCTGAATGACCATAGGCAAAGCACAGCGTTTCAAAGTACTTTGATGTTTTGGTCATTCTCAAGCACTGGCTACAAAGAAAAAATGCCACCCTGAAGTCCACAGTGCGTGGGGAACTCAGGAGCCGCCTTGCAATCGAGGTCAGTTCTTAACCTAGTGAGCCCCGAGTGACTGCGTGTATAGGGAAATGACAGGTGGAAATCTCATGCACACCACGGCAGTAATTAGTGTGACAGTTAGCTGCGTGTGATAGTACATGCCTGTCATCCTAGCTACACAGGAAACAGGCAGGAAGATCACAACTCTGTAAGGCATTGTCTCAAATAGGATTGAGGGTGTGGTTCAGTAGTAGGGCAATTTGCTTAGAATGAAGCCAGCCCTGGATTTCATTCCCAAGCACTACAAACAACACTAAAGCCGTTTGATGGATGACCTCGTCGTGTTCCCGCCAGCATCGACTCATCTGGAAGAAGCTGGTGTCACTGAGTGCTTGGGCCTGCCTGTCACCCTTCTCTGGGGCCTGCGCCAGGTTGCCAGCTGCGCTCAGGCTGTTCTAGCTCGCTGCAGGCTGCCCCTGTGCCTGAACAGACCTTTCTGGCTGTTCCTAAGGCTGGTCCAAGACAGCTCCCCCCCTCATCAATCAACCCGTGCTCAGCGAGCGCGGTGCGGCAGCTTACCTGCTGTGCTGCTGCGTGCTGCGTGCCAGGCCTGTGTGTGCGGGAGCCTGGAAGAGAGGCTGCTGCCAGCACGGTCGCCCTCAGCCCTCACTGCACGCGGCTGCTGGCGACTTCAGGCCTGGCGGCCTCCCTTCCTGCAAAGGGAGCGTGGAAATGGGGGAGTGATGGGGGGTCACAGGGTCACTGCCGCCCAGTGCTCTGCACAGTGGATGCCCTATGTCCCATCTTCCCACCGTGTCTGCGCGGGCTCTGCCCAACCACCAGGCCCACTCGGTGCCCTGCGCCCCACTTCCCTTCCCTGGATCTCCGGAGGGGTGCATGCTGGAGGAGCGTCACAGGTTCGCAGGCTGGGCGCTCAGCAGGCATGAGGGGGGGTCGGGGGAGGGCAGGAGCGGTGGGGAGGGTGACACTCCAGAGCTCGGTGCAAGCGCTTCATGCTTCATGCCGGCGGGCCTGGCCGGGCGGCCGTGCACTTGCCAGAGATGGGCTCAGGCAGCAGAGCCAATGGCCTCCTGGGGCTCTGAACCAGGCCAAGCCTCAGAGCAGCCAGCACTGCCCACAGCGGGGCCCGCGGGGAACGCCAGGAGAAATGCAGGAAGCCCACGGGTGACCAAACCTGTGGAAGCCCAGCCTCCCTCCCCCGAGCCTACCCTGTCCTCCGTGACGGCGGCCTGCTCTGGGGGTGAGCATGGTGCGGGGCCATGAGGTCCCCAGGGGGTCCCCTCCTGCCCCGGGTGCAGCCGTTACGGGACACGAAGAACCCCAGCACCTGCCCACCAAGTCTGCATTCCACAGGAGGATGGGCGAGCGTGGATTTCCCTCCATTCCTGTGTGTGAAGGGGAAGCGACACTCACACAGTGCCGCTGGTCCTCAACAGTGGCATGCCCGAGCCAGTGGCGTCTCTGGGCGTTTCCAGGGCTAGCGGGACCTAGCCGCCCCAGAGCCACGAACCCTGCTCAGCACGCACTGAAACACTCAGGCCCCTGCAGGGGTCTCAGGGAGGTGTGGGCGGGGGCCTGTCCCAGCACGAACCCCCTCTCCCCCAGCCGCTCGTCCACCAGCCTCATTTCTGGTCTGGCCCTGGGGTGGGGGTGGGGCACCCACTCCTGCACGGGTGGCTCAGGCCCCTTCCACTGCCCAGCCGTTCTGTGGCCCGGGACAGGGTGGTGGGAGAGGTCACAGGTCTGCCCCAACAGGACGAGACTAAACTCGAGCCCCCAAAACTCGTCCCAACAGTCAGGTCTGAAGAGGAAAAAGAAGGCACATGGATCATCATGTACATTCCAAAATAAACGGGCTCAATAGACGGCGGGGTTCAGCTCAGTGGGAGAACCTTTGCCTGTCCTGTAGTGGCTCATGCCTGTAATCCTAGCTACTCAGGGAGTGAGGGTCATGGTTCAAAGCCAGCCTGGGCAGGAAAGTCTATAAAACTTTTTTTTTTGGGGGGGGGGGGTTCCGGTTGTGGGGCCTGAACTCTGGGCCTGGGCGCTGTCCCTCAGCTCTTCAGCTCAAGGCGAGCGCTCTACCACTAGAGCCACAGCACCACTTCCGGCTTTTTTCTTTTTGCTTATGTGGTGCTGAGGAATGGAACCCAGGGCCTCAGGCATGCAAGGCAAGCGCTCTACCACTGAGCCACCTTCCCAGCCCCCTATAAAACTCCTATCTCCAATGAACCACCAGGAAACGAAGTGATTCCGTGGCTCCACGTGGTAGAGTGCTCACCTTGAAGAAGAACTCAGGGACAGTGCCTAGGCTCCAAGTTCAAGCCCCAGGATGGAGGAGGAGGAGGGTGAAGAGGAGGAAGGGAAGTGGAGAGGGAGGGGGAGGGGTGGTTGGTAGGAACTTGGCTGAGTGTCAGTGCCTGGCCCACAGAGACATGGCCGCCAGACTCGGCTGCAATTCCTCTGCTGTGCTCCCACCCCACCCCCAGAGCCAAACCAGTTTGGACAACTTTCTTTTTTTTTTTGCCGGTCATGGGGCTTGAACTCTGGGCCTGGGTGCTGTCCCTCAGCTCTTCAGCTCAAGGCGAGCGCTCTACCACTTGAGCTACAGCACCACTTCCGGTTTTCTGGTGGTTTATTGGAGATAGGAGTCTCACGGTCTCTCCTGCCCGGGCTGGCTTTGAACCGCGATTCTCAGATCTCAGCCTCCTGAGTAGCTAGGATTACAGGCGTAAGCCACCAGCGCCCGGCGATGGGTGGGTTTTTATTTTTATTTTTATTTTTTGGGTCCAGTCGTGGGGCCTGAACTCTGGGCCTGGGCGCTGTCCCTCAGCTCTTCAGCTCAAGGCTAGCGCTCTACCACTTGGGCCACAGCACCACTTCCCGCTTTTTTCTTTTTGCTTATGTGGTGCTGAGGAATCGAACCCAGGGCCTCATGCTTACAAGGCATGCACTCTACTGCTGAGCCACCTTCCCAGCCCCTGGACAACTTTCTTTTGGCACCCAGGAAACAAGGCTGCGAGGATCCTGCCCCAGAGCTGGGGATGTGGGGGGGGGGGGGGCGGGGAGAGAGCTGGGGATGAGGGGGGGCGAGGCGCAGCAGGGCTCCAAGGTGGAGGCTGTAACTGCTTCTCTAATGGTTCTACCACTGAGCAGTGCTCAGGTCTTTCCAACAAAGTCACTGACTCCAACGTGACCCCAAAGCCCACACGAAGGAGCCACCTGTAATGTCTAGACAGGAGAACATGAGCGTGAAGGTCTGGAGGGGTGCCGCCCAGCCCGCAGTCTGGCCCTGTGAGGGGGCACAGGGCAGCACAGCGAGCAGCTGCTGGAGCGCAGGTGCGGAAGGCTCGGCCACCTCCCAGCCATGCCTGAGCGCACCGATCAGAGACAGTGCATCTGAATGCTTCGCTGTGTATGAGGCAGGGCTCACAATGTGCCACCCACGGGTCCCAACCCTCCATCTTCCTCCTCCATTTCCCCAGCACTAGGATTACAGACTGCATCATCCATGCCTGGCCTGATCTGTGCAAATTCACAGATCAGCTGGAGCTGGAGGCTCATGCCTGTAATCCTAACTACTCAGGAACCTAAGATCTGAAGATCTTGGTTCGAAGCCAGCCTGGGAAGGAAAGTCTGTGAGATACTTTAACCAACCAAGTAAATGTCAGAAGTGACGCTGTGGTAAAGTACTAGTCTGGAGCAAAACCACTCAGGGACAGTGTCCAGGCTCTGAGTTCAAGTCACAGGATGGACATGCGTGTGGGCGCGCACGCACGCGCACACAAACACACACACAATTTGCAAAAGACTCTGCTTCAGACCTTTGTGTTGTGAAAATGAAATAAACCCTAGAATGGGCGGTTTACAAATATATTCCACTGGAGCGCCGCGCAGTGTCGGGTGCAAACGCGGTGCAGCCGTGGCTTCCGGGCCTGGCGGCTCCAGGCCGTGAGGGCAGCGGCAGCGGCCGGTCCAGGCCCAGTCCAGGGCCGCGGGCCTCCCTACCTCCCGCGGCCGCACCGCGTCTCCTGGGGCCTCGTCCACCCGCGGGCGCCCAGGCCGGGCCTGGCCGGGGCAGGTGCGCAGCCGGAGCGGGAGGCGGGTCTGCTCAGCAGCCGCCGCCTTTCCTGGTGATGGTGGGCAGGCGGTAGTGCTTCAGCGCGGCCTTCACGTCCTTCTGCGGGTCTGTCTGGTGAGGAAGGGCGGCGTGGAGGTGGCGGCGGGGCGGGGCGGGGGGGGGGGGCGGCGGGGGTAGGGAGGGAGGGGAGGGCGGGCGGTGGGGCGGGGGTAGGTGGGGAGGGGAGGGCGGGGGGGGGGGCGGCGGGGGTAGGGAGGGAGGGGAGGGCGGGGGTAGGTGGGGAGGGGAGGGGCGGGGGGGGGCGGCGGGGGTAGGTGGGGAGGGGAGGGGCGGCGGGGCGGGGGTAGGTGGGGAGGGGTGGGGAGGGCGGGGCGGGGGTAGGTGGGGAGGGCGGGGCGGGGGTAGGTGGGGAGGGCGGGCGCCGGGGGCGGGGGTAGGTGGGGAGGGGCGTGGGGGAGGACGGGGGTAGGTGGGGAAGGCGGGGCGGGGGTAGGTGGGGAGGGGCGTGGGGGAGGACGGGGGTAGGTGGGGAGGGGCGTGGGGGAGGACGGGGGTAGGTGGGGAGGGCGGGCGCCGGGGGCGGGGGTAGGTGGGGAGGGCGGGCGCCGGGGCGGGGGTAGGTGGGGAGGGGCGTGGGGGAGGACGGGTAGGTGGGGAGGGGCGTGGGGGAGGACGGGGGTAGGTGGGGAGGGGAGGGCGGGCGGCTGGCGGCGCGCCTACCTTCTTGCTCACGCTCACACACTTGAGGGGCAGCAGCACGGGGACTCGGCTGTCCACGCCCGCGCCCAGCGCAGGCCGCAGCGCGGGGCTCACGCACGGCGACAGGCGGCTCACCGCCGAGAGCCGCAGCCTGGGCAGCTCCACCGGGCCGTCGGGCGCGGCTCTCCGGGCGTGGTCCTCCTCAGGCCTCGCGGGCTGCTTCATGAAGGAGATCACAGGCGGTGCCCAGGGCGGCAGGGCGGCCAGGGCCCCTGCCCCCCATCAGTACCTCCCCCTCCCCTCCCCACCCGCTTTGCACGCAGGCCCCATGAGCAGCGTGGAGGCGCCCCCACTGCGCACGCGCCGCCTGGCCGCCCCATGAGCAGCGTGGAGGCGCCCCCACTGCGCACGCGCCGCCTGGCCGCCCCATGAGCAGCATGGAGGGGCCTCTACTGCGCACGCGCCACCCCGCCCCACGAGCAGCCGTGTGGAGGGGCCCAACTGCACACGCACCACCCACCGAGCAGCGTGGGCGCCCCCACTGCGCACGCGCCGCCCGGCCGCCCCACCTGCTGCTTCCGCGCCTCTCTCGAGTGCCAGCGGTGACCCAGCGGCTCGGGCGCCGCGGGCCGCGCGGGGAAGAAGGCTCTCCCATGGCTGACCAGAGCCCGGGCTTCGGCTCCCCTGAGGGGGAAGAGGGGCCGTGTCACATCTCCAGCCTGCCAGCGAGGCGCCCCGAGGGCCCGGGCGAGGCAGAGACCACCCCAACCTCGGCGGGGCAGGGCCGGGCCCTCCGCAGGCTCTCCGCGCCCCACCATCCCGCTGTGAACCCGCACCGTCTATCCCCGACATGGCCAGGCCCCGCCATGGTCACCTGCTGGAGCCCCCAAAATAGCCACCCAGCCTCCTTCCCCAGCATGCGGCGCCACCTGGGCGGGTCCCGGACCCCGGGAGAGGGGCAGAGCTGTTCCCCGGCCAGCCCACCTCCACTCCCGGAAGCCGGGGTGCTGCAGGCCTACCTCTGCTCCTGGAAGTAGGGGTGCTGCAGGGCCTGGTGGGCAGCAATCCTGTCGTCGGGGTCGTAGACCACCATGGCGTGCAGGAGGGAGAGGCAGTGCGGGGACAGGTTGGTGGGCGGTGGAGGTATTCCCGATCCCTTTTTAAAAGGAAAATCAAAACTCATAGCTCTCGACCTGCATTAAAACCCAATGACAATAAACCATCACGCCGTTATTAGAGTGCTCGCCAGTCGGCACCCCAACCTAAGGGACCCACACTGAAGGGAGTCTGAGCATGGGCACGGCCCCGGGGAACACCCACTGCACGAGGGGGGCCTGGGGGCCTGGGGGCTGGGGCCGCGCACATGGGGGGAGTTGCCCTCTGGACACACTGCCCCCTGTGCAGCGACCTTCAAGCTGCTCTAAAAGCCTGGGCTGCTGGGGGTGACGTGGGCACTGGTGGAAGAGCCCCTGGGACGGAGCTCTGCACAGCTGGGCAGGCAGCTCTTTCCTACCTGTCCCATAAAAGACTACTGTGAGGAAATTAAGGAAAAAGTGGCTCAAAGGATAGAGCACCTGCCTAGCAAAGTGTGAGGCCTTGAGTTCAATCCCAGGGCGGTCTAGGTGACCGGGGGACTTTTGGTCCCAGGGTTTCTAAGTGTGTGTAGGTCCGTGGATGCAGCCCAGCTCCCAGGCCCTCAGAGACCCTGGGAGGTTCAATGATGCCCAAGGAAGAGCCCATCTCCATGAACCCCCGGAGGGACGAGGCTGCCCCACTTCCTGCAGTGGGAACCCAGTGAGGCGGGACAGCAGGCCACGTCCTCTCCTCAGGGGACACGACACTTACTGCTTGAATTTGGTCAGGGTCCTCTGAGCAGGTGTGCCAATCACGTCGTGGATCTTTGAGATCTGGTCGAGTTCATTGTCTCCGGGGAAGAGGGGCTGCAGGCTGCAAGGGTGTGACGGGGTGAGGCGAGGCTGGCTGGGACCGGCTCACCCAGAGCAAGCCCCTCGGCCGCCTGTCCAGCGTCCTGCTTGTGCTTCGATGGCAGGCAGTAGGCCCACACTCTGTCTGCAGCAAAACGTGAATGAATGCTCACGAACTCTACAAGCTCTGGTCCTCTGGCCCGCCAGGGTGAGCTCTGCTGACAAACCCAGGGGGACAGAGCGGGTCTTGTTGACAAGTAAGTTCTCAGAAACACTTTTAGATTTCAGCGCTTTTAGAGATCTGGGAATGGGAGACAATGACTTTAGACCTATATTTAAAAATTCAATTCATGGCTAGGAGCTAGTGGCTCATATTAGAATTTTGGCCACTCGGGGCTGGGAAGGTGGCTCAGTGGTAGAGTGCTTGCCTCACATGCATGAGGCTCTAAGTTCCATTCTTCAGTACCACATAAGCAGAAAAAGCTGGAAGTGGTGCTATGGCTCAAGTGGCAGAGTGCTAGCCTTGAGCTGAAGAGCTGAAGGACAGTGCTCAGTCCCAGAGTTCAAGCCCCATGACCAGGGGGGAAAAAAAAAGAATCTTGGCCACTCAAGAGACTGAGATCTAGCCGGGCGCTGGTGGCTCATGCCTGTTATCCTAGCTACTCAGGAGACTGAGATCTGAGGATCACGGTCCAAAGCGAGCCCGGGCATGAAAGTCCGTGAAACTCTTCTCTCCAGTAAACCACCAGAAAACCGGAAGGGACGCTGTAGCTCAAGTGGTAGAGGGACAGCCTTGAGCTGAAGAGCTGAGGGACAGTGCTCAGGCTCAGAGTGCAAGTCCCATGACCGACCAAAAAAGAGACTGAGATTTGAGGATTCCAGTTTGAGGCCAGGCAAAGCAGACAAATCTCTTATCACCAATTAATCAGCAAAAAGCTGGAAGTAGATGTGTGGCTCAGGTGGTAGAGTGCCAGAAGCAGAGCACCAGCCTTAAGCAAAAAAGCTAAAGGAGTCAGGCACTGTGGCTTATGCCTATGATCCTAGCTACCCTGGTTTGAAGCTACCCTAAGCAGGAAAAGTCCGAGACTCCTATTTCCAATTAACAATTAACCACCAAAAAGCCAACTGGTAGAGTGCTAGCCTTGAGCAAAAAACACAGGGACAGCAACCAGGCCCTGAGTTCAAGCCCTGATACCAGCGCGTGCACGCACGCACACGCACGCACGCACACGCGCGCGCGCACACACACACACACACACACATACAAATCAGTTCATCTGCTTAGGAGGCTGAGATCTAAAGATTGCAGTTCGAAGCCAGCCCAGCAGAAAGGTCCCTGTGTAACTCCTATCTCCAATTAACTATTCAAAAGCAGTAAGTGACGCTGTGGCTCAAGCGGTAGAGCTAGCCTTGAGCACAAAGCGGCTCAGGAACAGCGCTCAGGCCCTGAGTTCAAGCAGTACAACCAACCACCCATCCCCACCCCCACCCCCCAAAATTCAATTCACGTTACAGGACACAAAGAAAACTTAAAATACAGCTCTAAAAGCAACAGGAGCTTCTATCAGCAAACAGCAATGTCCTGGACTGAAGAAGAAGAGAGGATGACAGCTCAGGAGAGGCTGGGCACTAGTGCCCAGCAACAGACTGGTGAGATGCTGCCAGCCACCTTGTTCACTGCCATCCTTCCAAACTAATGCACAGGGTTGAGCCTGGGGTATGAAGGGTCATCAGCACTTTGGGTTTGAATGAAGCCGCTATTCAGTCAGCTCATTCAGACAACAACTCTTAACCCAACACTGAAGTCAAAGGAAACGTATCCAGAAGGTCTGTCCATGTCATTTCTGCAGAGCCAGCTGAACGGGGCAGGAGCACCGCAACGCTCGGCCCTGCCGGACTGATGGCTTGCCTAGAGCAAGAGGACACACCCACCCTTCCCTGGGCTGCTGTAGCCAGAAGCTCATCTTCAAGTGGGCACAAACTCTGCCCAATCTGCTTGGACCACCACTCCCCCCAGAGATGGAGCCTGAAGGCCAAGGGAGGAGGGAAGGGAGAAGAGGGAGGGAAAGGAAAGAAGAGAGGGAGGAGGGGAGGAGAGGGGCGAGAGGAGGGGAGGAATAGTGGGAGGACAGAGAAGAGGGGAGGAGGAGAGGGGGAAAGGAGGAAGCTGGGAAGGATGAGATGTGTGCTTTGTAGAAAAGCCTTGGGGTGCAGGAAGTACCTCGTCCTCATCCCCGCGTGGACGCCCTAGCGGCTACCTGCGTGGCTGAGACAGGATCCACAGCCGCGCCCACCGCCACTGCAGGCTTTGCAGCCCCAGTACACTTACTGCTCCTCTGCCTGGAACACTACTCCGAGTCCTCCCTGAGGGAGCCCGAGGGAGACGGCCGCTCCCCACGGCAGGAAAGCAAGGGCAAGGACTTGACAAATAAATGAGCCAGGCCTCAGTGGCTCACACCTGTCTAGCTACTCAGAAGGCTAGATCTGAAGATCTTGGTTCAAAACCAGCCCAGGCAGCTAAGCCCATGAGCCTTTAACTCCAATCAAGCAAATGTGGAGCTGTGGCTCAAGTGGTAGACAGCAAGAGCTCAGGGTCAGCACCCGGACCCTAAGTACAAGCCCCAGGACTGACGCACAAAAAAGCAACGGCAGCACAAGACAGCACAGTCAACTTGCTGTTGATTCAAGACACCGTTAACAAACACGAGCCCCTGGCGGGACAGCCCCAGGGCGCAGAGGAGGGAGCCCTCCCCCAGGCAAGGTGGGAGCTGGCGCAGGCTACCTGGCGATCTCGTAGAACACACAGCCCGCGCTCCACAGGTCCATCTTGTAGGTGTAGAAGCCGTCGGTGAGGAGGCACTCGGGGGCGCGGTACCAGCGCGTGGAGATGTACTCTGTGTACGGCTGCTTGGAGTAGACGCTCCGGCAGGATCCAAAGTCCCCGAGCTTCAGGACGTCCTGCTGCACAGGACAGGGCAGGGACAAGAACCAACTCACCGTGCAGCCCTGCTGCACACCCATTCCCAACGCCAAGCGTCCCAGCCAGCGTGCAAAACACTTTACCGCTGCCTGACACAGGAGTGTCACAAAGCAGAGGGCGCTCTATTCACACGGCATGCCTACACACATTCTAGCTAGATTTCACACAGACTTCCAACTTACGTCTTTTTTTTTTTTTTTTTGGCCAGTCCCGAAGCTTGCCAGGTCAAGCCTTGAGCTTGAGCGAAGTCTTGAGTTTCTTTTACTCAAGGCTAGCACTCTACCACTTGAGCCACAGCGCCACTTCTGGCTTTTTCTGTGTATGTGGCACTGAGGAATCGAACCCAGGGCTTCATACGTGCTAGATAAGCACTCTATCACTCAGCCACCTTCCCATCCCCTTAGTTCTTTATTCTGATGTGTGTGTGTGTGTGTGTGTGTCGGTATTGCTTGAACTCAGGGCCTTGCTCAGCTTATTTGCTCATGGCTTGAACTCTACCACCTAGGCCATGATTCTAGTTGGACATTTTGCTGGTTAGCTGGAGATAGAATCTAGTGGACTTTTCTGCCCGGGCTGGCTTCAAACCATGATTCTCATATCTCAGCATCCAGAATAAGCAGGACCATAGGCATGAGCCACAGGGCCTGGCTTCTAGTTCCCACGTCCGTCTGGATGGCTCAGTCCTCAGCTCACTGCACATGCGCTCTTGTAGCCATGTGACTTCACGGGGTTCTGTTGGCAAGTCTCAGGGGAGGACACCAGACAGTGGCACGGGTTCACTTTAAACTTGGCAGTGCAGGTGGCATTGGAGAGAAACCCCCAACACAAGACTCCAAATCCCAGAAGTGACTGCCTACGTCTACCACCCTGGGTCAGCTCTGGAAAGGCCGAGCAGGAGGAACCTCAAGTGTCTCCTGCAGGTGCGCGGCCAATGAAGATGACGACATGTACTAAGTAAGCCTTCTTTTCCAAACTGGGAGGGAGAAAATACAAGGGCTGGGAAGATAGCTCATTGATACAGAGTCAGACTGCCCTGTTTGAGACTCTGGGTTCCCTCCCTAGAACTGAAAACAAAACAAAACAAAAACACACCATAGCTAGGTACCCATGATCACGCCTGTAATCCTAGCTACTCAGCAGGCTGAGATCTGAGGATAAAGGTTTCAAAGCCAGCCTGGGCAGGAAAGTCCATGAGACTCTTATCTCCAATAAACCACCAGAAGGCTGGAAGTGGAGCTGTGGCTCAAGAGGTAGAATACTAGCTTTGAGCAAAAAAGTTCAGAGATAATGCCCAGACCCTAAGTTCAAGGCCTGGTACTGACACAAAACAACAACAACAACAACAACAAAAACAACACCATTATTTTCCAGCTACCTGGGACTGACAATACATCCAGTTTCCAATTCTACCTTTATTGTGGACATCAAGTGTTCACATGAAGTACTTACCTTTATTAGTATATTTTCTGGTTTCACATCCCTGTGAAATATTCCATTTCTGCATTTAGTATGGAAGGGACAAAAAATAGAATTAGCCAAGCACAATGGCTCACACCTATAATCCTAGCTACTTGGAACACTGAGATCAGGAGGACAGAAGTTCAAGCCAGCCCCGGCACCAAGTTCATGAGACCCTCCCCCCCCATCTCAACCAATAAAAACCTGTCATCCTAGCTATGTGGGAGGTAGAAATAGGATCATGGTTAAGGCCAGCTCATGCATAACTATGAGACTTTACTTGAAAATAACAAAAGCAGGGCTGGAAAGGTGGCTCAGTGGTAGAGCGCTTGCCTTGCATGCCTGAGGCCCTGGGTTCAATTCCTCAGTACCCCATAAGCAAAAAGAAAAAAGCCAGAGGTGGCGCTATGGCTCAAGTGGTAGAGCGCTAGCCTTGAGCTGAAGAGCTGAGGGACAGCGCCCAGGCCCAGAGTTCAGGCCCCACAACCGGACCAAGAAAATAACAAAAGCAAAGGACTTAGGGTATTGTTTAGGGGGCAGAGCACCTGCCTAGCAAGCATGAGGCCCTGAGGTCAAACCCTACTACCACAAAAATAATTAACTAAATAACTATCCTTCATTTATTCAAATTCTTCCACTGGAATTGCATTTTTAAATTTATTTATGCAAACAATGGATTTTCCTTTTTTTAGTGCCCATAATGAGGCTTGAACTTAGGGCCTGGGTGCTGTCCCTTAGCTTTTTTGCTTAAGGTTGGTGCTTTACCACTTGAGCCACAGCTTCACTTCAGATACTTTGGTGGTTAATTGGAAATAAGTCTCATGGACTTTCCTGTTTGAACTGGCTTCGAACTGTAATCCTCAGAATCTCAGCCTCCTGCGTAGCTGGGATATAGGTGTGAGCCATGAGCTCCCAGCTCAGACAATGGGTCCTGGCGAGAGCCCCAGACACTCTAATCCAGCCTCAACAAGTGTCACTTCTGTTCCGTGTGTTGTGTGCATACAAACAGTTCTGGCCATATCTGCCATCCCTCTCCGGTCTGCCCACTGCCTCCCACTACCAGTTCCAGTTCCAGTGGGGATGAGACTGGACAGGACTGAAGCTGCATCTCGGGCCCAGGGCTCAGTACCTGTGCATGTGGTCAAGGGATTTGCACAGCTGGTACATGTAGTGCATGATTCTCCGTTCCGATAACGGGTGTCTTCGCCCTGGGCAAGCAAGGGACAGGCAGATACAGTTAGCAAGGGCTCAGATCCTCTTTATGAATCTAGAATACACAGAACCCAATTTTATTTAGGGGTGTGTGAAAATCTAAGCTCCTCTGTGAAAAATCATCTGAACTAGTTAAAGGAAATAGAAACACATGGAAAAAGTACGCCACTACAAAGCCTAGCCTACATACTGGCACAAGGTGGTTAAAGTCACAGTGCGCCCGCATCCTGATTCTGTGCGAGTGAGGCTGGTCTGATGGCCTTGGCCCTGTGGGAGCCCCTTCAAAGTGAGTGAGGCACTTGAAAACCTCATGTCTTCCTGTCTAGATGGGGAGCTCCATCTTATTTGTTCATCTGAGATATGCTCTCTCTTGCCTAGGATGGTTTTAAACTCTTGCACTCAGCTGGGCGCTGTCCCTCAGATCTTCAGCTCAAGGCTAGTGCTCTACCGCTTGAGCCACAGCACCACTTCCGGCTTTTTTTCTTTTTGCTTATGGGGTGCTGAGGAACCGAACCTAGGGTCTCATGTATGCAAGGCAAACACTCTACCACTGAGCCACCTTCTCAGCCCTTAAATTTTTAATTAATTTCTAGTACCTGGACATTACAAACATTTCTTAGTTATGTAGAGAAAAAAGATACATTTATTTGCAAAGAGAAATCACAAACTTACAGCTCATGGTGTCAAACAGGTCATATATTTAAGAAGGAAGAAACGACGCTCTCCCACCTCAGCCTCCTGCGTAGCTGGGACTACAGTGTGCACCATGGGACCTGATCTTGAGGATCTCCATCATAAAGGGCAGAGGGACAACCGTGCAGCAGAGCGCCGCTGAGGGCTGCGGGTCCACAGCGCACACAAGCTGCTTTCGCCGCCCAGGCCGGCCAGCCTGGCGCGCGGAGGCGGAGCCCCGCCAGCCCTTCCTTCCTGCAGCCCTTCCTGTGCTCTCTGCTCTCAGCACTCCATGCGCCAGACGGAGAACTCAGCACGCCATCCCAGCCCAGCGCCACAGAGAACTCCTGTTCCACAAAAGTCACTTTTTAATTGACTGCAGGTCAGTGGTGGCAACCTTTAAGTTTTAAATCTTCAAGATGACCATGGCCAGCCACCTAACAGTTCAGAAGCCTCGTTTCTTCCTTCTTAAATATATGACCTGTTTGACACCATGAGCTGTAAGTTTGTGATTTCTCTTTGCAAATAAATGTATCTTTTTTCTCTACATAACTAAATAAGAAATGTTTGTAATGTCCAGGTACTAGAAATTAATTAAAAATTTAAGGGCTGAGAAGGTGGCTCAGTGGTAGAGTGTTTGCCTTGCATGCCTGAGGCCCTAGGTTCAATTCCTCAGCACCCCATAAGCAAAAAGAAAAAAAGCCGGAAGTGGTGCTGTGGCTCAAGCGGTAGAGCACTAGCCTTGAGCTGAAGATCTGAGGGACAGCTCCCAGGCCCAGAGTTCAGGCCCCATGACTGGACCCAAAAAAAAACTTTTTAAAAAAGATATCTCAGTGCAATTAACTTCTTCATGTAATACCATCATCTTTTTATTATTTCACCTAGCTTATGTTTCCTAGAATTAAGATCAAAAGAATTAAAGTTAGGACTTTGATAGCTTTCCTAAGATTAAAGTACACTAGCCAGGTGCTGGTAGCTCAAGCCTGTAATCCTAGCTAACTCAGGAGGCTGAGATCTGAGGATAGTGGTTCAAAGCCAGCCTGGGCAGGAAAGTCCAAGACACTTTCTCCAATTAAACACCAAAAAACTGAAAGTGGAGCTGTGGCTCTAAGTGGTAGAGTACTAGCCTTGAGTGAAAAAACTCTAGGACAGCACCAGCCCCACAACCAACCAAAAAAACCATCAAAAAACAAAAAACAAAAACTCTAGCAGCCAGTGTGGTGGCACATGCCCGCGACCCCAGGACCCGGAGGTTTAGGCAGGAGGAGAACAAGTTAGAGAGGACAAAGGGCTACAGAGCAAGACCCTGTCTGGAAAATAAAAAAATGAACAGAAGAGTGCAATTTCAATTTCTGTCTCCCTCCCACGTGCTGGTGGTACACACCCCAAGCCGGCACAGGGAGAAAAGGAAACACTCATCTGAAGGTGAATTCGAGCCACACCCTGAACTACCTCTTCACTGTACATACCCACAATGTCAGAGCAGCTGTCGCCTGCTTGCGCACGGGCCTGTGCCTTAGTTGTGTACCATCTTTATCTCTTCCTTTGCTTTGTCTGACCAGTAAACTTTCTTGACCAGTATTTCCTAAACTTCCTTTTGTGGCGAGGTCACAACTCAGTGCCCAGGGGCCTGGCGAAGGCGTCGCCTCCGAAGGCTCCTGCCCATCGGGTCCAACCCAGAGCCAGAAGCTGGCATTGCACTCATCTGAACCTGAACCCAAAAAGGTAGACTCTCAGAAAAATCCTCCTCGACCCAAGCTTCGCAACCTGCCAGGCATTATTTATCTATTTATTTATGTTTTGGTTGTGGGGATTGAACTCAAGGGTCTGGGCGCTGTCCCTGAGCCTCTTTGTGCTCACTGCTAGTGTTCTACCACTTTAAGCCACAGTGCCACTTCCGGTTTCTGAGTAGTTTATTGGAGAAAAGTGTCTCACGCAGCTGGGCGCCGGTGGCTCACGCCTGTAATCCTAGCTACTCAGGAGGCTGAGATCTGAAGATTGTGGTTCAAAGCCAGCCCAGGCAGGAAAGTCTGTGAGACTCCTATAATAAACCACTAGAAAACCAGAAGTGGAGCTGTGGCTCAAATGGCAGAGCACTAGCCTTGAGCAAGAGCTGAGGGACAGCGCTCAGGCCCAGAGTTCAAGCCCTGCGACCGACAAAAAAAAAAAAAAAAGAGTCTCACAGAGACTTTTCTGTCCAGTCTAACTTTGAACCACGATCCTCAGTTTTCAGCCTCCTGAGCAGTTAGGATGATAGGCATAAGCCACCAGCACACAGCCAACTAGGAATCTTTTAAAAAACAGATTCCAGCCAGGTGCTGGTGGCTCATGCCTGTAATCCTAGCTGCTCAGGAGGCTGAAAACTGAGGACTGTAGCTTGCAGCCAGCCCAGCAGAAAAATCCATAAGCCTCCTACCTCCAATTAACCACCAAAAGCTGAAAGTGAAGATGACTCACGTAGTAGAATGGCAGTCTTGAGGGAGAGTGCAAGATTCTGAGTTCAAGCCACAGTACACACAGACACAGACAGACACAGACACACAGACACAGTCCACACACACAGACACAGTACACACAGACACAGACACGGGCACAGACACAAAGACACAAACACACAGACACAGTACACACAGATACAGACACAGACAAAACACATGTAGCTTTCAAGGCCCAACTCCAGATCTAATATATCACTGACTCAGGACAGAGCCTAGGAATCTACATTTCTTGCCTGCCTGTGGTCCCAGCAGGAGAGTCCTGTTGGAGTTCTACCTTCCTTGCCTTGTTTCCCTCACTGGGGGCGCTCTCCTGTGGCCCCTCTGTAGGGTGACCGCACAGGGTGAGGCCAGCAGTCTGGACACAGTCCCCCCGGCCCCCCAGGCTCCCGTCCCAGACCCTAAACTTCCAGCCCAAGTCTGAGTCTGATCCCCACCAGATTCTCCTTTTCCACCAGCCGGAACAACAAACAGATGAAGCACCCTGAGTGAATAACTTGGGGGGGAGGCTGGAACCCCAGCCTCAGGAACCCCTGGAAGTTTGACCAGGTGTTTCTACTTTCTATGCAACGTCACATATAATCTCAATAATGTAGAAAAGAAGTTAGGTGTGCACAGACAGACTTGGGCGTTCACCAAGTCAGCATCCTTTGAAGGAAAGCCAGTCCCATGGTGTCCTCGCTCCACGGTGACAAGACCCCCCCCCCCCCAGCCTGCCCCACACTGCAGATGCACACTGGGCCCACCAGGACACAGCCAAGGGCCTTCATACCACACCTGCACCCACATGCCTGCCCTGCTGCTGAGAAGCCACAGCCAGCACAGGGCCACAGGTGGGGTGCCAGACTGGACAGAGCCGGGGCCGCGCAGCCCGGCGCGGCGGCACGCGCAGCCCGGCGGCACGCGCAGCCCGGCGGCACACGCAGCCCGGCGTGGCGGCACGCGCAGCCCGGCGCGGCGGCACACGCAGTGCGGCCGCACACGCAGCATAGCCGCACACGCAGCACAGGCTCTCCAGGTCTGCACCCGGTGGCTGCGCCAGCTGAGGCGAGTACAAGTGGAAAAGTCTCAATTCGCTGTGCAGTTCAGATCCTCACCTGGAAAGCAAGGCTGAGCACACAGGAAAAGGCTGCACTGCTACACCCACACACTGTACACGCTGGTGGCCCTGCTGATTCTCCATACAACACATGGTGACTGCAGAGGCCGAGGGCAAGGCTGACCACAGCAGTCAGTGTCCACCGGAGCCTCCGTACCCCCCAAGTGTGAGAGACACCGTGACCTCCCCGTCTAGTCTAGGGGCAAGACTGCACATGACTGCAATACGGACTGGTGTCCGTGAGCCATGCCTCCCAGAGGTGCCAGGATTGGGTCACCAGCTTAGAAAAATGTCCTATTGCCCACCTGCTGAAAGCACAGAGGCTGACCAGGGAAGAACAAAGATGTCGCCCATGTGGCATCAAATGCTCAAAGAAGGCATTAGGAATGCCGTCACAAATGCACTTCAGGTCTACTATTTTTTGTATGCATGTGCAAAAGTGACACAGGAAAAAAACTAGATCTAAAAGAATTCTTTTGGTAAGGATAAAATTAAAATCACCACATGGTAAAGCTTTGTGTCATAACTGAACTGGAAAGTTTCCTTCTTGTTGCTACACAGAAAATGCTGCATCTTACAATGAATGGGTCGGAATCAATGAAATATAAAAATACAACGGAGAACTGGGCATAGTGGCTCACGCCTGTAATCCTAGCTAATCAGGGGGCTGAGATCTGAGGATTGTGGTTTAAAGCCAGCCCAAGCAGGAAAGTCCGTGAGACTCATATCT